CCTCCTGCTCCAGCAGGAAACCTTACTGGATTATTTTGGTGCCTCTAACAGTGAGGAAAATTGTCAGAAAGGAGAAGGAGTTTACTAGGACAAGGCTGCCATGCAGAGAAAGGCAGAGATCATCGTTGATTTATGACCAGAATTGAGCCCAAAATTTTGGTTGCTAAGCAAGAGCATTGTTAAGTGAGTTTCACCACATTTTACTCAATCCATGATCTCTCCTGGCTCTAACAGTCACGTGCAGGCTAAGGAAGTAAATCTGAAGGCATGTGTAATGTTCTAATGTACAGAAGTTATAGTTAAATGGGTGGCAGAAAGTGGACTCTGGGTGTGTTTTTCCAAATGTAGTAAGTGAGGTTGAATATGTATAGTTTTAGAAGAGGTGTGTGTGTGTGTGTGTGTGTGTGTGTGTTTGTGTGTATGTGTACAGAGTGAATTACAGAGTTGGAAGGGACCTTTGGAGGTCTTCTAGTCTTCTAGTCCAGAGATCTCCAACCTTGGCAAATTTCTCTGCCTGGGCCTGATGCTTCCTGAGAGGCAGGAGGTCTCTCCGAATGGGACCCCCTCCCCAAAAGGCTGGCCCCAAAGCCCTAGCTCAGAGGTCTTCAAACTTGGCAGCTTTAAGACTTGTGGACTTCAACTCCCAGAATTCTCCAACAAGCTGGCTGGGAAATTCTGGGAGTTGAAGTCTGCCAGGCTTAAAGTTGCCAAGTTTGAAGACCTCTGGACTAGAAGATAAATGATGGCATAAATGATGACCAGTCAAAAGTGCGAGGACCTGTCAGAAATCACTTTTTTCAGCCCTCTGGGTAGTCCCTATGTGCATATGGGCTGCTCAGAGGGCTGAAAAAGTTATTTTTGACCGGTCCTCGCACTTTTGACCAGTCCTTGAACTTACGACTGTCCTCACATTTTATGTTTTGCGCCCTATCTTGTCACCGTGGTGAAGAGAAGTAGTGGTAAAATGACTGACACGGTTGTTAAGAATGCCGCAATGGGCATAAATCTGAGGATGGTCATAAGTGCAAGGACCCGGTCAAAAATGCGAGGATCAGTCAGAAATGACTTTTTTCAGCCCTCTGAGTAATCCCTATGCACATAGCCATGCCCACCCAGTCACATGACCAGCTAGCCACACCCACCCAGTCACATGACCACCAAGCCACACCCCCAACTAAGCCACGCCCACAGAACCAGTTGTTAAAAAAATTGAATCCCACCACTGCCTGACTTCCTTGTCCACAGTCCGGCTGAGTCCCTGGCGGCTGCCTGGAATAGAGGGGCATCTGGGGCACTGGACCGGATTGTGCCTTTGTGACCTCTCCATGGTGGTGGATCCAGGAAAGCTCTCTGGTTTACCGAGGAGCTCCGGGAGATGAAGCGCCAGAAGAGACATCTAGAGCGACGCTGGAGGACCAATAACTCCAAATCTGACCGAACACTCTTAAGAACCTTTATTAGGACTTATTTAGTGGCAATACAGGCGGCAAAAGGTTCACATTTTCCCGCACTTATTGCATCCACTGATTCGTGCCCAGCAGCCCTATTTAGGGTGACTCGCTCCCTCCTTAATGTAGGGGGAGTGGAGGAGCCCTTGCAGGGTAGAGCTGAGGAGTTTGTGCAGTTTCTGTCGGATAAAGTCGCTCAGATTAGGATGGACCTGGACTCTGATTGGGCAAATCCGACCGAGATGACAGGGGCAGGTCTTAGTTTTATTGTGTGGGATGAGTTTGAGCCTGTGACTCCTGAGGAAGTGGACAAGGCTGTAGGAGTGATGAGTTCCTCCACTTTTTTGTTGGACCCGTGCCCCTCCTGGCTGGTTTTGGCCAGCAGGGAGGTGACATGAGTCTGGCTCCAGGCTTTAGTTAATGCATCCTTGAGGGAAGGGGCCTTCTTGCAACCGTTAAAGGAAGTGGTCGTAAGGCCCCTCCTCAAGAAGCCTTCCCTGGATCCAGCAGAATTAAAGAACTTTCATCTAGTCTCAAACCTACCCTTTGTGGGAAAGGTTGTAGAGAACGTGGTGGCACTTAAGCTCCTGTGGTCATTGGAGGAAATGGATTATCTAGACCCCTTTCAGTCTGGCTTCAGCCTGGCTACAGCACAGAAACTGCTTTGGTCACACTGATGGATTATCTCTGGCGAGCCCAAGATGGGGGCCATTCCTCCATCTTGGTGCTACTTGACCTCTCAGCGGCTTTCGTATTGACCATGGTATCGTTCTGGGACGACTAAGGGAACTGGGAGTGGGAGGCACTGTGTTATGGTGGTTCTCCTCCTATCTCTCTGGTTGGTCACAGTCGGTGTTGATAGAAGGACAGAGGTCGATCCCTAGGCCCCTCGTTTGCGGGGTGCCTCAGGGCTCGGTCCTCCCTCCCCTCCTATTTAACATCTACATGAAGCCACTGGGTGAGATCATCCGATGACATGGGGTGAGATATCAGCAATACGCGGATGATACCCAGCTGTATATCTCTACCCCGCATCAATTCAGTGATGCAGTAGATGTGATGTGCCGGTGTCTGGAGGTTGTGAGGGTCTGGATGGGAGTCAACAGGCTCAGACTTAACCCAGAAAAGACCGAGTAGCTGTGGGTATTGCCTCCTAAACACTATGTTGATTGTCCATCCTTGGTTCTGGGGGGAGGAGAAATTGTCCCCCTCAGAACGGGCTCGCAATTTGGGTGTCCTCCTAGACTCACAGCTAAGATTAGAGCAACATCTGACAGCTGTGGCTAGGGGGACCTTTGCACAGGTTCGTCTGGTGCACCAATTGCGACCCTACTTGGATCAGGAGGCTCTCCTCACAGTTACTCATGCCCTTGTCACTTCACGGTTAAATTATTGCAATGCATTCTACATGGGGCTACCCTTGAAAAGTGTTCAGAGACTACAGTTGGTCCAGAACGCAGCTGTGCAAGTTGTCATGGGTGCACCTAGGTACACCCACATTACACCAATTCTCCGTGAGCTGCACTGGCTCCCTATTGGTCTCCGGTCACAATTCAAGGTGTTGGTTATTACCTTTAAAGCCCTACATGGCTCAGGGCCAGGTTATCTTCGAGACCGCCTTCTACCGCATAGCTCCCAGCAACCGGTAACATCCCACAGAGTTGGTCTCCTCCGGGACCTGTCAGCTAAACAATGCCGGCTGGCGGGCCCGTGGGGGAGGGCCTTCTCTGTGGCTGCCCCAGCTCTCTGGAATCAGTTACCTCCTGAGGTCTGGACCATCCCCTATTGGCCTTCCGAAAAGCAGTGAAGACCTGGCTTTTCCGGCAGGCCTGGGGTCATTGATCTCGCTTTGTGATCTGATGAGATCCGGCTATGAATGGTGTGAATGGGTTTTAATATCTTTAATGTTTTTAATTTTTAAGTGTTTTTATAGTGATTTTTTGAGTGTATTGTGAGCCGCCCTGGATCTTCGGAGAGGGGCGGCATATGAATTGAATGAATGAATGAATGAATGAATGAATGAATGAATGAATGAATAAATAAATAAATAAATAAATAAATAAATAAATAAATAAATAAATAAGAATATGCATTTCAAAAGCAGAAACTATAAAAAATGATAATTAGTTTGGGAATATATGCATATGTATTAAAGATTAATTCTCACGTTTCTGAATATTCTCATTTCATTTCAAAAGATTTATTTGTGCCACTTATTAGAAAATATATTTTGCCCAACTGGAGTACATTCATTCAGTACATTTTATTTTACATAAAATCATTCTTGGTTCTTCCATTATCACTATTCATTATTAATCTTTCACATGTAACTGTCACCAACCTATCAATTCATACTTTTATACATACCCACTACAGCATAAAAGGCACCAATTCTTATATCCTGCAAACATCACTTTAGTCACTCCTTTTTTAATTATAAACTTTATTTATTTATTTATTTTATTAGTCATATTTCTATGCCGCCCACTCTCTGAGGACTCTGGGTGGCTTACACCAAAGACAGTATCCTAAATAGCATATTGCCCCCTAACAATCTGGGTCCTCATTATATCCACCTCGGAAGGATGGAAGGCTGAGTCAACCTTGAGCCGGTGAGATTTGATCCGCTGATCTGCTGAATTAGCAGTCAGCTGAAATAGCTGCAGTACTGCACCCTAACTACTGCGCCACCTCGGCTCTTATAACTTTCACTTAACTTCATGTTCTCATCAACTCATTCCACAATATCCAAGACTCATTATTCAAATCTGGTATAACCTTTGTCTTTCTTTTACATTCACAGACACACAACGCATATTTTTCCCACTTTCATTTCATTTATTCATGTTCTTTATCATTTACTCTTAGATTGCAAGCTGAAGTCTTCCAACTGCCATAGTTGTGACAAAATGAGCTTGTAAATATTGACTTCCATCATCCATCATGGATTTCATAAATGAAAGCTTTCATATAAGCTTTTTATAAGATAGAAAATGTATAGATTTAATTCCACCAAAGACTTATGAAGCATACACTGTCAACACTAAGGATACAACTGATCAATTTTGACCCTTTCAGGCCACAAGTTGTATATCACAATCACAACATAAATCCAGTTTTGTGATAAGCAAGTTCATGTATTCTATGCAAACTAGGATTTCTAATATATAAACTACTTTGAAAACCATTTTACTATGGCCCATACCTTATCAGCTAAGAGATATACAATATGCAACATACCAATGCACATTTTTGTTAACAAGAAAAATTTCAAAGACAGGATAATCAAAACAACTCATTAAGGAATGCTTCCTAGAATATAAATATAGTTGAAGGCAAACCAAATACATTTGTAAACTATTTTTCAATTAAACATAAACATCATAAAGATAGTTTCTATTTAAAAACTGTGCAATCAAGATAATTTAGACAACAAAATGATTTCGTCAGAATAAATAAATAAATAAATAAATAAATAAATAAATAAATAAATAAATAAATAAATAAATATTGTTTATGTACTTCTTGCTGATAAAAAAGGTTAAAACATACCTTATGACACATGCATAAAGCCCACTGTCTTGTGCCAGTGTTGGACGAAACCAAATAGCATCTTCCTCTTTGCTCATTCTATTTCCATCAAAAGCTATAGGTTCCTCAAAATCTCCAGGTCCAGAACTCTTGTACCACATTAAACTGAGTCCAGCACTTTGTGCTATGGTGTAATTTGCTCTTATATAACCATAAAACAGTGCACATTTTATACGAACAGGTTCTCCCACTAAGACTTGATACTTTTTGTAATCCACTGACCAGTCAGTACATCCATCTGCTGAAAGAGGAGGGGAAAAAAAGGCAAAAATGAGTTTTAAGAAGTTGTATTTTGCAAAAATTTAAACAGTTTCTCTCACTGTAGAATGTTATGTTTTGATTTGGAACTATGCAATTAATAAGAGAAATACTGAAGGGAGACAATACACATTTGAGAAGTTTAATTTTTTCAAGAACAGTCATGACATTTCCTTATCATTACTGTATTTTTTTCAGCATAGAACATTACGTCTTCCTTCATAATATCAGAGAATTTCTACACAACACCAATCAGGTACCATTCTCACTTCTGAACTCCTAAAAACAACACTGATTAAAAGTGTTCATGTTCTATAATTGTTCTATAATTGTTTTATTCTTCTATTAATGGAATTGCAAGCTGCCCAGAGTTGCTGTCAACTTCAAACCAAACCTGGCAGCAGCCATTTTTCTGTTCCTCAGTTCCCACACAGAAGGGGAAGGGTGGAAGGAGGTTGGAATGCCTTACTAGACACAATAGAGAGTTTTCTAATGAGAACCAAAATCATCTCTACTGGATAAGGTCAGGGAAGGAGTACCTGGAGAGCCTGTCAATTAACCCAATTGGCCAACGTGACCTGTGATACTTGGGGGTGGGGTTAATTCCTATTTTAATTATACTGAAACTGCAGGAAAGATTTAGAGTTGGTTTCCTTTGAAGCTGTGCCAATATGATGTACTCAATAAAGAGGAGCTTTGAGGAGGATCCTAGTCTCAGAATTCTGATTTGCTTGGGTTCATTAGTTGGAATATTGACATTAAACCAACTCTCTTAAACCTACCCCAAGGTCCTGAGTCCAGGCCGCCACCCAACAACATTGGGAGGATGGAAAAGACTCAGAGGAGATCAGAGATGGAGAAGATGGAGGAAGTGACCATTAACACTAGCTCTGCCCCAGCCAGGGCTGCACAGCTGGCAGGTCAGACCAAAGAGGCAATCCTTCCACTGGCAACCAGGTGTGGAAAGAACCAAAAGACCAGTAATATGAAAGGATGTCCTAACCATTGAGGAACTCTACCAAACAGAGGGGGAGACCTGGTGCAGGGGGGTAACGAAGGCTGCCGAAGCAGAGTTCCCCCTGAGGTCTCCTCAATTGTTGACTGCCCTTGTTCTGAGATGGAAGCCCATTGGTAGAGTGGCTGAGGGAGAGATTCAACCACATGGAGATCTGAAGAGTGGAGCCGATGCACTAACTTGGGCCAACTGTAGTGACAGCGGCTTCGGCATCTCAGCAACATCTAACCTTCTGGAGCCCGAGCCCAACCACAGCAGATTGAGTGGCCAGCCTGCCTCCCCAGCCAGCTGGGGCAGCAAGCTCATGCTAAAGAAGGGGCCTCCCATGGCAGCAACAAGCAGCGAGTCCAGTGGGGTTAACCTCAGCTTCCCCCCAGATGGCATAGACACCCACTGTGGCCTTACTATCTGGGCCCCAGTTGGTTCCCCAATTTGTGGGCACCCCCTCTTCTGCCAGCAGACCCGCCACTAATAAAGGCCCAGAGAAGTTGGCATTCTTCCTCAACCAGGTGTGAACTAATCTAGACCACTATGTCCCAGCCTACCCATTTGACATTGTGATGGTGAATGCCGTGGCCACCAACCTAGAGGGAGAAGCCATGGAGTGGGTAATGAGATTCCATGGTCTCATTGTTGTTTATTTTAACTTTAGAAGTTTTGTTGAACAAGCTACGTGACTCTGATAAAATAAAAGGAATTGTAATTAGACAGCAGGATTATAGACTAAGAGCATTTGCAGATGACCTGGTTGTTACTTTATCTCAACCTATAGAAGCGGCTCCATATATGTTGGACATAATAGGTCAATATGGTAAAGTATCTGGATTTAAAGTAAATCAACACAGGACAAAGATGATAATTAAAAATATGTCCATATCTCAAAGAGAAAATTTAGGGAGAATAACGGGGTTTGAAATAGTTAAAAAGGTTAAGTATTTAGGAGTATATATTGCAGCCTCAAACACGAAATTGTTTAAAAACAATTATGAAATTCTTTGGCAAAAAGTGCAGAAAGAAATGGAAAACTGGAAAAAGCTACAACTATCATTACTGGGAAGGATTGCAGTAATGAAAATGAATGTATTACCTAGGTTTTTATTTTTGTTTCAAATGATACCAGTGCTTAAGAAAGACACAAACTTGATGGAATGGCAGAAAGGGGTTAATACCTTTATCTGGGGTGGGAAGAAACCAAGAGTGAAATTGAAAATTATATAGGATGTACGTGAGAGAGGAGGTCTTAAAATGCCTAATTTAAGATTATACTGTGAAGCAGCCGTTTTATCTCAAATTAGCAATTGGTTTAACTTAACTGAAGAAAGAATGTTAAATATAGAAGGTTATGATTTGCTATATGGATGGCATGCTTATCTGTTATATGAAAAAAAAGTGGATAAAGTGTTTAAGGGTCATATACTTAGAAATGCGTTGCTGAGGGTTTGGAAAAAGTATCAATATAAGTTAAATTATAAAATACCCATATGGCCAAATCCCAGACATGCAATAGAAAATATAAGTATAGAGCAAAAACAGAGGTGATTACTTATAAAGAGCTTCTTTTTTTGGAAAGGGATAAACTGCAATTGAAATCTTTAGATGTATTAAAAGAAGAAGGGATAATTTATACTTGGTTTCAGTATGGTCAGCTTCAAGCTAGATGGAGGGAAGACCAAAAAAATTGGTGTTATGCAAAATGAGGAAAATCTTGTGAAACAGATTAGAGATCAAAGTCAGATGCATATTAAAAGGTTGTATAATGCTTTATTGGAAATAGATTTAGAAACGGAATTGGTTAAGGATTGTATGATAAAATGGGCACAAAATTTTCAGGAACCAGTGATGATGGAAACATGGGAAAAGATTTGGGTTAGAAATGTTAAATTTACGCAAGCACAAAATTTGAGAGAAAATTTTTATAAAATGTTTTATAGATGGCATTTAGATCCTAAGAAATTATCATGTATGTATTTGAATTTGCAAGCTTGCAAATTGGAGATGTGAATGTGATGATGCAACTTATTATCATATATGGTGGACTTGTAAGAAAATCAAGGCATTTTGGATAAAAATTTGGTGGGTGATGCAGAACATTCTGAAAAAAAGGTTGAAATTTACTCCTCAATTGTTCTTATTGGGCATAACGATGGATTGTACAGTATTAGAGACTAAATTGATTTTGAACTTCATATCAGCAGCCAGACTGTTGGTAGCGCAATACTGGAAGAAGGACTCTTTGCCTACTATTGAAGAGTGGATACTGAAAGTAACGAATTTGGCAGAAATGGCAAAAATTTCAGCGTATTTGAAGGACTATACACAAGAAAGATACGTATTGGAATAGAGAAGGTGGATTGATAATATTCAAAATAAGTATCAGACAAGAAAATATCAAATAGCTTATGAATGAACATTAAGTATTAGAAATATTATGTTATCTATAGTGGAGTTAAGGCTTCAGGGGGGGATCTAGTAGTCTAAGGATAGATAGTTTAATTTAGCTTATGATTGTTAATTGAAATATCTTGTATTTTGCTCTGGGAAGTCTGGGGGGGAGGGTGGGTTGAGGGGAGGGAAAGGGTGGGGGGAATATTGGGGGGGAAATTTTTTTCTTTTTGTAAAACTTTTCAATAAAAATAAAAAAGAGATTCCACGGTGAAGACACGCCAGAACTGGGGAATGTCTATGTCTTCCTGTGGGAGCTGAGAGCCAGATTCAAAAATGAATCCCAAGCCCTGCAGGCTGAAATAGAAATCTGAGACCTAAAGCAATGAAGGAGTATGTTGGGCAGTTCCGCAGAGTGGCTGGCAAGCTGAGAGAGCAGCCGGACCAACTGCTGGTCTACCTATTTCAAGGAAGGCCTGGACAGAGAACTACTACATGCCTGCATCTACCAGTGAGTCCCAGAGCAGACCCATAATTGGTACTGGATGGCCATAGCACTGGACCTCGAGCTAAAGCAGTGCAAGTAGCCCAGTGAGCCCAAACTGAAGCCCAAGCAGAGCCAAGAAGGCCACTGCTTCAGTCACCAACCTGTTGCTACTAACCCACTGATCATCCTTCTGCTCCAGGCAGAGCCCCGATCAAGTGCTTCAGATGTGGCCAACAGGGCCACCGAGCTGCTGAGTACCTGGCTCCCACACCCCAGCCAAAAGCAATCCTGGCCAGATTATCTAAGCAAAAAAAGCCATTGCAGAAGGGCTGGGAAAAATCAAGCTTGGCGCACCAGGCCATTGAGGTCTCCTCCCCCTAAAGTGAGTGAGAGAGAACTCCATCTAAGAGACACCATAGACACTCCTATGACAGCAAAGATGAGAGTGAAGACGACCTGATGGTAAGTGAAGCCATCTGCCCTTTTGCCATCCCCACTAAAATCATGATGCCAAATTCAGGAGTTCAGAGAGAGTTGGCTGCCCTAATAAACTCAGGCTGCATCCAGTGCCTAATTAGCCTACTGACTGTGCTGAAGCTAGGGATCCACGCAAGGAGGTTCAAGCATGTTGATGGATCACTGATAGGAAGTTCTCCCACAATGTACCTTACTGAGTCAGTGCAGCTAGAGATGGGCCAACATTGGGAGATTATCTGATTTGTGATAGTCCCAAAGATGACCAAGGCAGTAATTCTGGGACTATCTGGGCTAGACAAGTGGGGCCCAACAATCTGGTGGGAAGGGAGAGAGAGAAAAATGAAGTTAGGAAGAGGTCCTCTCCCTCCTCAAAGCAGCTGGGAGGAGGAGCTTCCAGCACTGAGTGGGACCAAAAGGGAACAAGATCCTGAAAACCACATCAGAGCAACTGCCAGGGACCCAGCTAATCCCCCAAGAATACCGGGACCTAGCATGGGTGTTCAATGACAAAGAAGGTCACATGTTACCCTACCCCACTGCCCACCGACTATGTGATTGAGATCCTGCCCAGTGCAAAACTAGCTAAACCCAAAATGTACTCCATAACCCCAAAGGAAATGAA